TCATTTAATTAAACATGAATGTAATACCACTGTAATGTACATTTCTCAATTGAGGAATATATTCGTTGGTGTTCCATGTTGACATCTAGGTGTTTTTGTCCAACAAAGAATTTTATGTAAATGGCAAGGTGTAGTATCTGTAAACATTCACGTCTTGGATTGATCGGGGTGATGAACGTACAAATGTATTAACGTATGGTATTATTGATGTGTTTTCTGCAAAAGCGTATAATATGAGTTTCGTAGTTATACATTGTGAATTGTAATGTCTCGATAGGAATCCGTATTTTCTATTATTTGAGGCACTTCTAATTGATGGAAACTATCCTGGTTCTTTATTGCTGTGTGACCAAGTATAACATACATTTGATCATACTCCTCATAACCATAGTAGTATATGAACATTGTTCGTGTTTTCTATTTCTAGAACGATAAAACGAAGTATCATCAAGACATATAGTCAATAAAACATAAATGATGTATTTTCTGTTAAAAAAAAACACATACCCTCTTAACACACAGAATGTACACACGTCTCAATCCAACATTGTATTGCTTGTTACTTTAGTCTGGGAAAACATGATTTATTAGTTGGTTGTAATTGGCTTTGTACTAGATTTCAGTAACTGCGAGTACTCGTATATCGATACTTTGTGTCTATGGTTTTTATGTTATTTAGTATGTTTGTGCTTTGTACCGATCTATTAAGCCATTTGCAACTGATTTTTATAGTTTGTTCTTATGTTGTGCTGTAACTCTACTGTCCTAAGTAAGGGAAGGATTAAGCGCTTTCAAAATTGTTTACCTCCACTACATTCTGTAAGTGCCTGTCCAAAGTCAAGAGCCTGTAATTCGGTGGTTTTCGTTGGTTCATGTCCGTCATCATTTGTTGTTTTCGTACGTAATATTGTATATATTAGGTCGTTAGTTTTCTCGTTTTAATTGTCTCAATTTTTTCATGTTCGGTCTTTTATAGCTGACTATAAGTTTTGGGTTTTTCTCATTGTTGAAGGCCGTACGGTGCCTTAAAATTACTTATTTCTTCGTCATTTGAACTCTTGTGGATAGTTGTCTCATTGACATTCATACCACATCTTGTTATTAATATATATATATATATATCTATATGTCACAGTTTTTAAATGATTTGTTGTATTAAATAAAGACAACAGTAGTATACCGCTGTTAGAAATTCATTAATTGATTGAGAAAAAACAAATCTGTACAATTTGTTCTTAAAGAATCTGTTATTTCTATTTACCTTTAAGAGCACGTGTGTTTACATTCTTTCATCACAGTTTTCCCCTCGCACTTGCACTGTGTGGTGGCCGAAGTTATAACGAGAGGTCTCGTAGTTAAGGTCACTGCATACGGGAAAATATCGGGGATTTGGTGTCTTGGAAGTCAATAATTCAATATCTGTACATTTATAAAGATTTTGATAATATAAAGGATTTTCTGTTTTAAAAAAGTTCACATTCACTTAAACATTCAAGTATAAAATATGTTCAACTTTTTTTTAAATTTTAAGTTTCATATGACTTTGAATTAAACTTTTAGAACACAAAATAATGTAGAGGTGATGGTATCTTTTTATCACAAACACTGACCTACCTTGTATGATCTGGTATGTTAAGTACAAGCACATATTTCACATCTTACAAGAAAAGAAGTCTGTTTGTTTACATTTTTGATCATATTCACTCGAAAAAAAACACGACTCAAGCCGGACAATCAACCTACTGTGGATAGGCAATTTAGTATACAGAGTCTGAGACGATTGGGTGGCTTCCTTATAATTATAGTTTTGCTTTCCATTCTTCATACTGAAGAAAATAAAGATGTTATAGGTAATTGTATGCTATAGGTAATTGTATGTTATAGAAATTGTATGTTATAGGTAATTGCATGCTATAGGTAATTGTTTGTTATAGTGATAAAGTAAAATCACAAAAATACCGAACTCCGAGGAAAATTTTCAATGGAAAGTCTCTAGTTGTGTATTATAGGTAGTTGTATACTATACATACTTGGATGGAGAGTTGTCTCATTGGCACTCATACCACATCTTCTTATATCTATTGTATGTTATAGGCAATTGTTTCTTATAGGTTAAATGTTGTCTATCCACAGTCATATCTCTTTGGCAGCGGCATCTCTTTGGAACAATCTCCCGAACAGTTTAAGACAATGCAAGTCCCTAGAGTTTTTTAAATCTCAGCTAAACACTCATTTTTATCGCATTGCTTTTGAATCAGACTTTTTTTTCTCTTTTACGGGTTTTTTACTTGTTTTGTATCAACTTTTAATGCAACTTTTTGTATTCGTTTTTAGGGTTTTTGCTTGTTTTGCATGCTTTTAGCCTAGATTGTTATTTTTTTATTTTTTGTTTTAACATGTATTTTTGTTGTTTTTTTTATTTCAGTATTTGAATCTGACACAGTGTATGTTTTATGTATTTGTCTTTGATTTGTTTTAATTACCATGCTGAATGTACAGCGCCTTAGAGTAATTTTTATTTTTTATATAGGCCGCTTTATAAATTTTCATTATTATTATACAAGCACTGCTTGTAACTTTGCAACTACCATTAAATGCATGTTTTATCTCTCTATTACTAGACTTCATTTCGTCAATATTTCTAATATCAATTCGAAATGCATTTCCCCTACTTCATCAAACGAAACAAATAATCATAAATAATCATATGAAACAACTGTATGATTTTAGAACAACTAATCTGAATTTGTTCATTAGAATCTGAAATATTAAAGTTTATATAATGTGCATATTTCAGCTGTGATTTTCATTCTTACATAAATATTTTGCCCGAGCGGTCGTTATGGTTACTTTTCACCCATGTTTTAGAGTAGGGAAAATCATTCATATATTTATTAAACAAAAAATCTGCATTAAGTTCCTAGAAGACAACCATTTGGAAAAGGCATACATTTTTCATGGTTTCAAAAGTACTGTTTAAAATTGAGGTTTTTAATTCGCAAGCATTTAGTTTAAGATAAATTCGATAAATTTTAATGATCATTATAAAAACAAATATTTTAAGAAAAGCGTTTTAAAGAATGATAAAAATCTCTTCTATATTAGAAATGCAAAATAAGCAATTAAAAAATAAATTACTACTTTTAATTGATTTTTTTTTTCTATTTCAATGAAGAAAACCAGATCTAACAAAACATGTTTAAGGATGTTCACTCCTCTTGTTTTTGAATTTTTGCCAGATATTCGGAATCTTCTGGTTTTATCTATGTAGAGCCATTAAAACATTTGACCACTAATCCCTACTTTTCTTTTCGTAATTTGATTACATATAGTTTAAAATGTCATCTTTGAAAATCTTATAAAATCGTTGTTATTTTTTCATCGTTTTTGAAAGAAAAAAGGTGTCAATGTTAAATGTTTGAAAAATCTAGATAGAAGTATTTCCCGCCAAATTTTCAATGGCTTATATCTCGAAAACAAGCACACGGACCCTTCATTTTTTTTCTGCTTTTTTAATTCCTTTATTTATATACTATCAATTTATAACAGTCTTTTGAAAAGCTTGTTATTTTGAAACAGAGTAGCGACCATCCATAACCCCATCGCATTTTTGCGCCTGTCCCAAGTCAGGAGCCGAACTAGTATACATTTTTTTAGGAGCCAGCTGAGGCCCAACTCTGGGTCCGGGATTTTCTCGCAGCATTGAAGACCCATTGGTGGCCTCCGGCTGTTATCTGCTCTTTGGTCGAGTTGTTGTCTCTTTGACATATAACCCATTTCCATTCTCAATTCTAAACTTTGTAAAAGTTTTATTTTCAAACTGAAAAAATTGGAAAATGTAGTATCGTTATAGAAAGGGATGTCAAATTGTTCAGGGTTACGCATAATTTGTTTTTCTTGCTGAACAAATAAGATATATTTTGTGATCGATGAAGTTTTTTTAAAATTGTATACGTCGGTTATGCTGAGGATGGATACTGACTTTCCAGTATTACAATTATAAATTTATCACATGCAGTCATTAATTAGGTATGACATTTTATTACAGTGAAACTTATAAATACGCGGATCTAGAAAAGTGGGTTTCTTGGATGAACCCCCTTTTCTACAGAAACATCGTTAAAAATCACAGCTCTTAGCCCCTCCACACTTTTGCGGATGGAACCCACCCTTTCTTTTTGATCCGCTAAGATTAATTTTTAAAGATTTTGTTAGTCCATATGCATGCATCAGTTCTAGTATCTTAAACTAGTTCTCCGTACATTTCAACAGCATTCACAACATGAAAATGGATTGCAAAAATTTCAAAGTGACCATGCATAATAAAGATATTCAATTATTTACCTTGGCTCTAACAGCAAACATGACTTTTGTTGCTTTTTTGGCTAGGTCTTATAAACTTGAAATAAGGTTACCATAGCTCTTTATAAGAGTTCCTAAGAACTTATGTTCCAATAAATTTTTTATCATATTACCATTGTAATTGAGAAATGAAACTGCACTCTTGGCACTATTTGGCTGTAAAATCATGATTTTACTTATATTTATATCCAGGTCATTTATAAAAATATTAAAAAGAAGGGAACTAAGTTTTACACCTCATTTTAGGTTTCAGAGAAAACTTCAGGACAACTGATAGTCTCTTTATATTATAGACATTGATAAATAAGTATTTACATAACTTAAAGAGTAATAGTAAGTTATATATTTGTTTTATCGACATACAAAGGCATTTGACTCAGTGTGGAAAAAAGTTTACAGTATAAATTAGCAAAAATTGGATTGGGCAAAAATACATGTTATATTATATAGAACCAGTATTTGAATACTGAAACTACCTTGAAATGGAACCATTTCTTTGGTAATTTGATATGCATCACTTTTTAAGTGATATTAAATTACAAAATAATTTTTGAACAATTTGTTGCATCATATGTCTCAAGTAATTTTGGAACAAACACGTTATATGTATTTAAAAATATATGTTGTGCTTTCAGTAAAAAGACCAACTGACTGTGGTAACCTGGACAAATCAACTTCCAAAAGTGGGATTTATAAGATCTTCCCGGAAAAAATTTCTTGTTTCAAGGCTTTCTGTGAAATGGAGAAACATGGCGGGGGCTGGACTGTGAGTTTGAAATGAATACTAGATGAAACAAATCAAATAGATGGGTTAATGATATATTCAATTAACTAATCGGCTTAATATACGGTTAGAAAGTTTACGTAAACAAATTGTATATAAACTAAGAGTTAATATATTTCACCGACCTAGAAGAAATTTTGCATCTAGCGAGTTATGTTTTATCATTTATACTAGTATCTAAAAAAAGAAATTTTTAAATTCTTTTTTTTTCTATATATTATTTTTCCTATCATTATTAATATTTGCTTAATTCAATTACTCTTCAAAGACTGAGTATTCAAAAGATAGTATATGTTATTGGCATTGCTATTTCAAATAAATTGTACGACTAAATGAGCATATTTATTATATACTGTTATTTTCAGGTTTTTCAACGTAGAATGAACGGAAAGACAACATTCTATAGAGACTGGAACTCTTATAAGCAAGGATTTGGTAACCCGAGTAAAGAATTTTGGTTGGGTAATACACACTTTTACATATATAGGGAGTTATGTTAAGATTTCATCAGGCCATGTATGGCGTATCCGATACAGTACTTTTTTCAGAAAGCTATCAAATTGTTCTTTGTGTCTTTTTTTTAAAGCAATACAAACTTATTAAGAATGTTCGCTACTTTTTTTTTTTACTTTTTGTCAGATAATCGGAATCCTCAGGTTTTATCCATGCAGTGCTATTAAAAATGTTGTCCAACAACCCCTACTTTTCTTTTCATAATTTCATAACATATTGTTTTAAAAAGCCATATTTGAAAATCTTATAAAATCCTTGTTATTTTTTCATAGTTTTTGACAGAAAAAACGTGACAATGTTAAAGGGGCACTAGCTACGAGATATATAAAAAATATAAAATATATTTTTTTTTGTTCAATCATTAATGAAAGTGAAATAGTGAAATAATATATTGCTTTTAGCAGCCAGTATGGTTCAATTTTGTCGAAATAAGCTAAGAAACATTGCATCCGTATTCATGTGAACTTCAATTTAACCCCTTAGCTAGAGATGGATACCGCATGCATTGCACGTGTTCAATTATTTAAAGGAAAAGAATGTCAACATTGAAAGTAAAACAAAGGTGAATCATTTGATTGACTGATTCGATGGTGTCATCCTGGTTTGCCCACATTTAATTGCAGGTTTATAAAAACATAGGGTGTTTTGTTGTTTTAACAATTATAGTTTATTTCTGAATTATAATCATATTTCTAACCTTTAATTTACCTGTAAAATTTTAGAAAAGATACCTTCTATGAAATCTAGGAAAAAGTATTGAATTTGACAAAAAATATGCAAATATGTTTATTATTTTGACCAATTATCCCAATTTTTTTTAATTTGTTAGTACATTCTGTAAAAAAAATAATCAGTAAAATAATAATTTTAAGAATAAAATAAGTGTAATTAAAAATTTCTTTTAATTTATTCACCTTAATTATTATTTTAATTTTATTAAATAATTTGTTCTGAAATTTTATATAAAAAAAAACAAATTCATTCTAAAAAATAAAATACAAATGCCACTGTTCAGTAGCCAAGCTTTAAAATGACATAATTTGAACAATAATCTGCATCCAAGCTAAAATGTTCTTCTTTCGCTTTTTATGGAACCACTTCTTCAGCCTGTAATTCAGTGGTTGTTGTTTGTTGCTGTCGATCATATGTCTTGTTTGTTTATTGTTTTGTACAGTTCTTGTGTTGTTCTGTTGCACCACTCTCCCAGGATTAGGCGAGGGTTGGTCACCCGCTAACATGTTTACCCCGCCACATTATGTATGTGACTGTCGCAAGTCAGGAGCCTGTAATTCAGTGGTTGTTGTTTGTTTCTGTATATCATATTTGTATTTCGTTCATTGTTTTTTTACATAAATCAGGCCGTTAGTTTTCTCGTTTGAATTGTAATTTACTTTTGTCATTTCGGGGCCTATTATAGCTGACTATGCGATATGGGTTTTGCTTATTGTTGAAGGCCATACTGTGACCTATAGTTGTTAACTTCTATGTCATTTGGTTTCTGGTGGAGAGTTGTCTCATTGGCAATTATACCACATCTTCTTATTTTTATATAAAATGTTGTGTTTTTCATCATTATACACAAAGTGCCCCATATTACTTATATATAACATAGTGCTTTATTTATTTTCTTATGCAATGCATATTTAAATTATGTTTGCAATGAAAGAAAATTTTATCATACATTTGTATATTTATATCATAATCATTTAGAAACTGATCAATTATTAAGACACTTTTATAAATGAATGCCATTGTTTTGTCATTAGTTGTATATTATATGAATCGATGAATTGATATCAAATTATTGAGAAAAAAATGATTTATTTATTATTTATCTATTATAATACAAATAAAAATTGAACTACAAAATGAAAAATACCTGAATGTATATAGAAAACACAGATAAACTATATACCTATAAAGTTGGAACAGACTATACAATTGTATGCGCATTAAACCTTTTGTCTTATTTGTTTTCTTTACTAATAGAGAATTGGTATAATTAAATGTGGGCAAACCAGGAGTAAACTGATTCGATCCACAAAAAATCATTCTTATACAGGTAAAAACGATGATGAACATATATTTTTAATCTATAATATGAAATTAAGCAGACCTAGAAAAATCCAAATGCACGAGTCATATATCTATTTATATCTATATTTATGTTTAAATCGCTTACAAATGTATATGGCAATCGGAGGTTAACTCGACAGTTAATTAGATGGTGTCTAGACTAAAATACAAACGAAACTAAGCTACATAATTTTGAGCTCATGCCCGGTTTATTGTTTATTTTAGCGTTTTTATAATTTGGATAAATGTTTTGCATTGTTATAAATCAAATACGAGAATTTGAGTCAAATCGGTTAACATGAATTTGACAGCTAGTGCCCTTTTAAATGTATAAAAATCTAGAGGGAATTATTTCCGGCCAAATTTTCAATGGTTTACATCTAGAAAACACTGCTTTCTAGGACACGGACCCTTTACTTTTTTCTGTTTTTTTTTAGGTCCGTTATTTATATACTATAAACTTATAACAGTTATTTTGAAACAGAGTGTCGAACATCCTTAAGATGTTTTTGTTCAGTCATTGTGCATGCGTGTTTTATTTATTTATTTAATCATTCAGGTTTTGGAATAACCTAATTTTACCTCCTGGTCACTCCGGCTTCCAGTGCCAATAAAAGGTTGGCCGCCACGATATAATCAAGATTCCTGAAAGGGGAATTAAACGTCATCCATCAATCAATGGAAAAACAAAGGAAATGGGGTACATCAATGACACAAAATCAATTCATGCTGAGCAAAATATACAAACACAAAAAGCTAAGGAACAGCGATTTTTGTGTTCCTTTTTCTGCTTTGGTATCCCGACAACCTCAGACAACGTTCCTGACCTGGGACAGCAGCATGCACATGTGTCAGGACTAAGCTAGTTTTTTTTTATCTCAACCCTTTTCATTTTAGTCCTGATCAGTAGATTAACAAAGCGTGAATAAAAGAATATCCTATAAGATTAGTACTGTTATAGCTATATAATAAACAACAACAAGAATGTGTCCATGGTAAACGGATGCCCCACTCGCACTATCATTTTCTATGTTAAGTTGACCGTGAAATTGGGATCAAAAATCTAATTTGGCATTTAAATTAGAAAGATCATATCACAGGGAACATGTGTACCAAGTTTCAAGCTGATTGCACTTCAACTTCATCAAAATCTACCTTGACCAAAACTTTAACCAAAAACTTGAAGCTCACACTATCATTTGCTATGTTCAGAGGACCGTGAAATTGGGATCAAAAATCTAATTTGGCATTTTAATTAGAAAGATCATATCACAGGAAACATGTGTACTAAGTTTTAAGTTGATTGGACTTCAACTTCATCAAAAACTACCTTGACCAAAAACTTTAACCTGAAGCGTTACAGACGGACGAACGGACAGGGAAACGAACGGACAAACGGACGGAAGAACGAATGCACAGAACAGAAAACATAATGACTCTCTACTATCGTAGGTGGGGCATAAAAACACTAAAAAAAAAATAACAAATAATACCTGGTTGAAGTATGTTCGCGGCTACTGAGAAATCAAATCCTTCCTGCACCTATGAGCCTTCTCATGGGTTTTTTGTTATGTGATTACTTGGCCGGTTTTATAGTGATTATTTAATTAACAGACCGAATATTTCATGATTATTTGATTATTTGATAATCTAGGACTGAACTTTTGATTATTTGATTATCTAGTTTAAAAACTAATTAATGATCATGTGATTATATTGGCAAAATATTTGTGGTTATGTGATTACTTGGATACCCCCATTAGGAGTCTCACATGTAGTATAAACTTCGGTTGCATTCAATTTAAATTTACATCAGGTAATGACCATCTGCATCAGCTTACCTCTCAAGGAAACTACAGCATGAGGATTGATATGGAAGACTTTGAAAACAACCAAAGGTATGCGCTGTATGACATCTTCAGCGTTGGTAGTGAAAGTTCTGGTTATATTTTGAGTGTCAGTGATTATTCTGGTGATGCAGGTAGGCATTTTGTATTTCTAACCCTTCAAATTTTGGATTCTATTATTGACCCTTGTCTTTATCTATTTTCTTCTTTGACTCCTAATTTGATAAAAGGGAAAACATATATAATGACGTAGTATTGTAAATAAACCTATATTGTAATCAAATAGATATTAGAAGATGTGGTATGAGTGCCAATGAGACAACTCTCCACCCAAGTCACAATTTGTAAAAGTAAACCATTATAGGTCAAAGTACGATCTTCAACACGGAGTCTTGGCTCACATCGAACAGCAAGCTATAAAGGGCCCAAAACATGACTAGTGTAAAACCATTCAAATGGGAAAACCAACGGTCTGATCTATATAAAAAAGAGAAACGAGAAACACTTATGAACCACATAAAAAAAACGACAACTACTGAACATCAGATTCCTGACTTAGGAAAGGTGCAAACAAATGCAGCGGGTTTAAACGTTTTAATAGGTACCAACCTTCACCCTTATCTGAAACAATAGTGTAACATCACAATATAGAAAGACACACTATAAAATATCAATTGAAATGGCTTTAAGACATATTAACACAAGTGAACATACACTGAACGAATAAATTTGATCTATGATAAATGGCTGTTTTCCATTGTTCCATTTGCAACATTTCCTTATTTTTATAATAAATACATCCGGGCACTAGGTGTCCATACAAATAAGTTTCTTCTAAATGCATAGTTATTTCAACCCGAAATATTATGATACAAATATTTATTCATTGTTATTAGAACGGTAAAAATATTCATCTACTTCTTTTTCCTCCTTATTTCAAAAATTCTTTTTTATTGTATCAGTAACTTTAGTATAAGCTATCCCTATCATTGAAGTAAATACCCTAACTATATCGCAAGACATATTCAAAAACATTGGTAGGGTGTATTTTGCAAGTGTTAAGACATTCAATCACAAGATCGATTTAAGAAAAAGAGCATAAATTGATAAAATTCATTTCATATAACATACTGATAAAGAGTATCTGTTATTTCCAAAATATTTTATTGAAATTTATATTTACTTTTTCCTTTCTTATTTTGGTGGTGTTTTACACTTGTTTGTCTTTTTTATAATCAATCTGTTGCGTACAGTATCGTTTTTCATAACAAGTCAACGCCCTCATAAGAAAGATGTTGATTTGAGATTTTTTTTCAATGGTATCTAAACTTAATCTCAGTATGCTTATTCATGAAATAGAAAGACATATATTAAATAAATAAAATATCAAAATACCTTAGTATAATATCAAATTCCTAAAGAATAGACACAAACATTCAACATTTCAACGGAAAAAGTAATGAATTGTTCATTTATTGCAACAAAATGTCATGTTTAAAATCTAATACATAGTAACAAGATTTACAATGCCATCTTTGTTATGCATTTGGATATAACTTGAGTATTTGAATTCCAATTGCAACATACTACGTATATTTACAGGAGATTCGATGACTTATCAGAACGGACAGAAATTCTCAACAAAAGATAAGGATAACGACAAATGGGACGAGGAATGTGCAGTGGAGTTAAAGGGTGCTTGGTGGTATAATATATGTCACTATAGCAACCTCAATGGCCTCTATCTGAAAGGACACCATGATTCATTTGCTGATGGGGTCAATTGGAAAACCTGGAAGGGTTATAACTACTCACTAAAAGAAACAATCATGATGATCCGCAAAGTCTAGATAGATGAATCAAATGTGACGTCACTTTTTTTGCGTTGGTCTCTTTGGCTAACTCGGTTGTGAATTTTTATGTGCTGGTTCATGTTGTTTTATGTATCCGTTTTTATTCTGTAATTAGTCACCACTTCGGTGTTATCATGTATATCTATTATATAGTCATTTTTATAAATTTACTGTTTGCTAAAGTATGAATTATTCTAAATACTAAGGATTTTCTTATCCCAGACATATAACCTTAGCCGTATTTTGCACAACTTTTGGGAACTTTTGGTCGTCAATTCTCTTCAACTTTGTACTTGTTTTTGACTTTCGTACTTTTTTTATCTGATCGTCACTTGTTAGTCTTGTGTGGACGAAACGCGCGTCTTGCGTATTAAATTTTAAACCTGGTACCTTTTGTTAGCTATTATTCGTATGTTTCTCTGTCCTATATGTTCTCCCATTTATTTGTATTGTAGTCCTGTCATGTAATGTTGTCATTTTAATGTTATATTTAACATTGCCATAAAAGCGGAAGGTTTGGCTATCCACAAAACCAGGTTCAACCCACCATTTTTTTCTTAAAATGTCCTGTACCAAGTTAGGAAAATGGCCATTGTTATATTATAGTTCGTTTTTGTGTGTTACATTTTTATGTTGTGTTTCTGTTGTGTCGTAGTTCTCCTCTTATATTTGATGTGTTTCCCTCAGTTTTAGTTTGTAACCCGGATTTTTTTTTTTCTCAATCGATTTATGAATTTCGAACAGCGGTATACTACTGTTGCCTTTATTTATGAACAATAAATAATGCAAATTATCATTATCATTGTTTATTAATTTGTTAGATTATAATGCATGTCTCAGTCATTCGTTGGATTTCGGTTTTATAGTGGTTTTTTTTTTCTTGTAAAATATCGTTAGTGTCATTGTTGGTTCCTTATTGCCAAGGTTTGATCTGATTACAGATTCAAAAATTAAGATTCATTACAGTCCGTATCGTCTTTATTATAATATAATCAAATCAAATTTTGATGAACGTTATATTCTACGGTTTATAACCATAGAAATAATGGATAATTTATTTCATTGTAGTTTTAAAATCTATAGAATTGATCAATTCCTTGACAAAAGATCATCCAAATACATCTCTCATTTTGTCCTTTTAACTTATATTGGTAACTCAAAAAACATAATTTAAATCCTTCTACTAAAAAAATGCCGATATCTAGTTCTACTGAAAACAACCTTAACATTGGCATTTGGAATATTCAAGGTTTAGATTCTGAAAAAATTAGTGAACACGTATTTGTACATTTTGTATCAAAAATGCTTATTATTAGTCTTGTTGAAACTAGGAGTGACAGTGGTAAACCTGTTGATAATATACCTGGATTAGATTTTATATGCAATAGTACCCAGGAAAAAAACAAAAGAGCCAGACGAGGTTCTGGTGGTATTGCACTGTATGTCAGAAGTTATATATATATAAAGGTATATCCAAACTATCTTGTAATCATAATAATGCTTTCTCTAATTTTTGAGCTTTTTTCACATTTCTTGATCGGTGTGAGAAAAAAATTTCTCCTCACTAGTGAAATATCTGTTCTCGGCAAATGATTGGTCGAAATTTAATTATGACGTAAAATGTTCTTGGTTTCTTCTGAATGTCATATTGTCACGTCATGAAAAATGACGACCATGCCTGATGACGCCACATTAATTCCTAACTATAGAGGCTCTAAAGAGCCTGTGTCGCTCGCCTTGGTCTGTGTGCATATTCAACAAAGGACACTCTCCAACATTGCATGACAAAATTCTGGTTTGTTGATCTTGTATTGCTGATCATTTAGTCTGTTTATTTTCTCTCTATCTTCTTTAGTTTTTGCTCAAAACACAAAAGAGGATAAAAAAAATCCTCATTTAAGGGCAATCACTCCTATAAAGAGTGACAGTCTACTAAACTATATCGTCAAAATTTGACTTGTTAGTAGATCTTGACTTGCTGATCATTTTTTTGATTTAAAGTGTATCTTTATCTATTATAACTTTTTATTAAACTTCGTGTCAAAATGCCAGATTTTGATTGGATAATGCGAGGGAGACAATTTACTCTATTCCATTGGTAAATACTTCACGGAGACGCTTGCTCAAGTGTCACTTTGATAAATACGGATTAAAGTTATGTACAGGACGTCACAGTTTATTACTTTGAATTTGAAATTTAATAGACAGTAATAACAGAACATTCAGTATAATAAATTAAATAACACATATCTGAGAGGGTGATAGAGCAGATTGTTACCCTCGAAAAGACATTGTCAACCTTGGCTTCGCCTCAGTTGACAATGTTTTCTCGGGGTAAAAATCTGCTCTATCACCCTTTCAGATATGTGTTATTTATATACTATCATATATGGCAAAACGCAAAAAAGGTCAAAATCGTCTTTAAAGGGCAATAACTTCAATAAGAAGTCGTCTGACCATTTCCTCCATATTGTCTTTATTGTAGATTTTGTTTTGTGATCATTTTTGCTTAAAGTTTCTATCTGTTTATTATAATAGATATTTAAGATATAAGGCAAAAACGCCAAAAATTGGTCAAAATCATCAGCAAAGGGCAATAACTCTAATAAGGAGTCAATTGACGATTTCGACCCTGTTGACCTATTTATAGAACTTGTCGTGCTGATCATTTTAAAGTTTCTCTGTATCTATTATAGTTTTCAATTTAGTAGGCAAAAATAAAAAACATGGTAAAATTTGTCATTAAAGGGCAATAACTCCTATCAGAAGTCATCTGACAGTTAAGACATGAATAGACAATTGGTAGAGCTTAACAATTTTAACCTTTTTTCTCTGGTCAGTTTTTCTCTCTTTATAATGGTTTTCAAAAAATAGACAAAACTTGCATTTTACCCCCTATGTTCTGTTTAGCCATGTAGGCCATCTTGGTTTGCAGGCGGAGTCATCAGACATATTTTTTAAACTAGATACCCCAATGATGATTGTGGCCAAGATTAAACTTGGCAAATAAGTTTCAGAGGAGAAGATTTTTGTAAAAGATACAAAAATTCACGACAAACTGTTTAAAATTGACTTTTAAGGGCAATAACTCCTTAAGGGGTCAATTGACAATTTTGATCATATTGAATAATTTGTAGATCTGACCTTGCTTAACATTATTGATGTTTACAGTTTTTCTCTATCTATAATGATATTCAAAATAATAACCAAAAACTGCAAAATTTCCTTAAAATTACAAATTAAGGGACAGCAACCCAACAACGGGATGTTTGATTCGTCTGAAAACTTCTATGCAGATGGATCTAAACCTGATGAACATTTTTATAAAAAGGTCAGATTGCTCTAAATGCTTTAGTTTCAGAGATATAAGCCAAAAACTGCATTTTACCCCTATGTTTTATTTTTAGCCATGTCGGCCGAGTTGGTTGGCAGACGGGATATTCAGACACATTTTTAAAACTAGATACCATATTAATGATTGTGGCCAAGTGTGATTAAACTTGCAAAGTAGTTTCAGAAGAGAAGATTTTTGAAAAAGATATAAAAATTTACGACAAATTGTTAAAAATTGACTATTAAGGGCAATAACTCCTTAAGGGGTCAATTGACAAAATTGGTCATTTAAATTATTTGTAGATCTTACTTTGCTGAGCATTATTGATGTTTACAGTTTATTTCTATCTATAATAATATTCAAGATAATAACCAAAAACTGCAAAATTTCCTTAAAATTACGAATTCAGGGGCAGCATCCAAAGAACGGGATGTCTGATTAGTCTGAAAATTTCGGTGCAGATGGACCTAAACCTGATGAACATGTGGACCCCATGTCAGATTGCTCTAAATGCTTTAGTTTCAGAGATATAAGCCAAAAACTGCCTTTTACTCCTATGTTTTATTTTTAGCCATGTCGGCCATGTTGGTTGGCAGACGGGGTCATCAGACACATTTTTAAAACTAGATACCATATTAATGATTGTGGCCAAGTGTGATTAAATTTGGCAAAGTAGTTTCAGAGGAGAAGATTTTTGTAAAAATTAACGACGGACGACGACGGACGACGGACGCCAAGTGATGAGAAAAGCTCACTTGGCCATTTGGTCCAGATGAGCTATAAAGGGAAACAAATTTGACCCCTCTAGTTATAGAGGTATCTCATTGACTTCTAATTTGGGAGAATTATTCAATAAAATTATACACACCAAACTTATGAAGTTTATTAACACCAATAATTTGATATGTGAAAATCAAATTGGCTTCAAAGAAATGGCTAGAACAGCAGATTATATCTACTCAGTAAAGTCACTTGTTGATAAATATACGACACAAAAAAAGAAAGTTTTTGCAGCATTTATTGATCTATGAAAGGCCTTTGATACTGTTTGAAGGGAGGGTTTATTTTATATTCTACTCGAAGAAATTTGTTTTTACTGTATTCCATAGTAGCGTCTGTCTTTGAGTATTCACTCATTTACACTTTTTAAGTCATGATTTTGTAAAGAAGGAAATGTTTTTGTTCATTTCGGTACTAATTTTCTATATTCCTCGAAAATTGTATTTGGTCATTATCATTCAATTGTATTTTTTTGCATTTTGATTCTTTAATTTGTTTCTTTAATATTTGTTTATACTGTATCCGCGCTAGAACTAGTTGCATCGTTTTATGACCGTAAGAATTAAAAGAGAGATATGACAAACAGCTACCCAACGAACCAAACAACATATTGGTTAATTACAATAGTTAAGGTTTTATTAACGCTGTTTTATATTTTATGGTTTCTGAGTACCTTAGAGCCAGGTTAGCTAGAAATTATTTATATGTATTTTATATTCAAGAAGTGTAAATGACGAAGTAGTCAAAATTTAAATCGACTTTGACCTGTAATTTCATGTTTATGACAATGTGCTGAATTCTTGAAAGATTTGTGAAGGGATCATTTTTAATCATTTGTACACTTGAAAATTCCCGTTTTTGTTTTAGATTACTGAAGAACATACATTTCAAGCAATCACTGTGAAAATTAACAAAACGGAACTTGACCTGTACTTTATGGTCTATGAAATAGTTTGTTTTACTATTGCAAAAGCTCTCGGCAAACTATACTTCAGTTATCAATCGGACGCAAGGG